CAAAACCTAGCATTAGTTCAGAGCATCTATGTACCAAGTTTCATCAAAATCCAATGAGTGGTTCTTTAGATATCAGTGGAACAGTCATAGAACATGTGTGTGTGTACGTGTATATGTGTGTATACATACACATACAGACACACTAACACATACAGACACATACAGACACACTAACTGCAAAGACTCCCATTTTGTGCTCCGCACATGGGAGTCAAAATGGGAGTCAAAAACAAAACAAATTAAAGTCATAGTGCCGTCACGTTAAAGCGTATTTAGGTAGAATTTCATGGTATTTTCAGTTTTGATGAAGTAAGGATATCACATCAATGCAATATTCCCCTACCAGTAAATGGTATATCTACATTGAGCTATAAAAAAAGAAAATCATTTTTTTTAATTTTTTGTAGCAGACATTCGGTTAGTGCCTTTCATACAATATGTGATATCTTGCAATGAATGAAAAATCTATCAAGGTGATCAAAAACTTTTTTTAGTTATAAATTCAGATCCAGATAAGTTTTAAGGTAAAGAAACCTACTCATAATTTTTGAGAAAGTTTGTCATTAACCACATTCATTGATTTATTATGTAAAATCATGAATCTATTGTCCCATGGCACCATGAAATAGCATTCTTTTGTGATGTATTTTGAGAAACTTGTCCTAATATTTTTCATAAATCATAATTTTTAAAACAATTCCATAAACCACAATGTCAAAAAAAAATTGCATTTTTAGACAATTTTTAAAACCAAGATTTTTGAAAAAAAAAGTACCCCATTATTAATATATAATTTGTTCAGCCTTTGTCACCAGATATCTCTGTCACAAGAACTATAATACTATAAGCACTATAATACTGCCAAAATGGCAACTATCCACTAAAATAAAATATTTCAATTTTGACACTCACCCTTTGACTGTTTCAACAAGAGATTCCAAGTGTTTGTGGAAGAGCAGAACTTCATCACGGAATAGCGTGATACACCAACTGGACTGCAATGCAATACGTAGGAACTCAGAAACACCAGGCTGGTTTATTTTTTGGTAACACAGCATGAAGCCAACTGAAATAAGAAAACAATAAATATCAAATATCTTTACATGCTCAAACAATTGTCAAAAATAATGCGACATGCTTTGTTATACATTGTAGTTTTAACAAATTTCTACTTACGAATGACCCATCTTTCCATCACATCTAAAGATATATATTCACACGGCATCTGTAAGTAATCATACCCACAATGTATGAAATGTATTTACCGGTAATAATAGTTAATAAAAAATGTAAGCTAACATACATTCATCCATAGATGGTTATAAAAATATATTTTGAATGAAAAAAACACATTGAAAACACAATAATGACATTGATATAGAAAAGGAGTACCAGTACCATTATTTGCTCTTACTATAAGAAGTATATACATCTGAAAATATGTTCATACCATAGGTTATTTTCCAGAGTAAAATAACTTAAATTCAAATTGAAATTGTTTAGATGGTATTTCCAAATGGTAGACGAGATGCCATCAATAATTCTGAAATGTTGTGAGCGGTCAGTCTATGCATAGATGTTTCCATAGTAATGTTCTGAAGACATGAAGACAGCCAATCAGTGATGACACAGAATTCTGTACTGACTAGGTACAGTCTAACCTGTCTATAAGGGACAGTCAGTGGACTGAGCCAAACTGTCCTTTATAGACAGATGGTCTTTATATGGAGGTGGCCTAATTTATTCATTCAATCATGAATATTAATTAGGGCGGGAATTTTAAGGGAGATCATATTTTTTTTTTTTTAAGTAAAACATAAAAGCACACCTACACATTGTACAATGAACAGGTCTTTTTTAATAAAAGTCACTCATTTTTATATGGATAATTACACAGCTTTACGTTTTTACTACAAATTATATCATATAAATTCACTGGAACCAAGTTATTCTGCCCATGGATTTATTCATGTATTTAATGCATAAGAACGATTGTCAACGATCGACCGCATTGGCGTTTCAGCTCGGTCTTTCACACTCTCGCCATGCAGTCTTATTCCCTAGTCTCTTACACATATTCCATCACAGGCGGTAATCAGTCCCATCGTTAGTATTGTCAATTGTATACTGTGACAAAATGCACAGGCAAAGTTGCCGTGTTTGAAAAAACAAACAAGCATTAAAAATGAAGAAGCATTGGTAATAAAAAAAATTTACCAAACTCATAACGATTGCTCCAACTGTCGGTGTTGAATCAGAAAGTCAAACAAACCGGAAATGAAACACGATGATTGTACACGCAATTTTACAGTTATTTGTTGCAAGCATCGACGTGTCAAAACTGCTCAAACGAAACAAATTTTCTCGATTGCGAATTATTGATATTACCTTTTATAAAAAAAAAAAGAGGATCAAAATAGAAAACATCTTTCGTTGAGAATAACCCTGAGATGACCCCTCAATAACAATACGTTTTGCCCATGCGCTAGCTTGATAAGCATAACTTATAACGATCAACAACAAACAACATGGCTGCCAAAATAGGTTGGATTTTGCAATCCCGCGATGAAAATGAAATATACGAATGTTTTATTATTTTGTTTGGATATTTCATGTCGACAAGGTAAATAAAACATTCATTTGTTTATTTTGTTTTCGAGACGGGAGGAATTTGCTCTTCATGTGCGAGACAGTCCACAGAAGTGCCGCTGGCCGGCTGGGGATCGATAGTATAGTACCGATCGGAAACAAGCTAGTTTGTCATTTCAAACTTTAAATGAAACTGTTTTAATTTGTTGTTAAAATTTTCCAGTCTCCAGACGTTACATTCAGATGATATTCAACTTTTTGTTTTTACTTTTTCGCAACTTTACAAACCAAGTTGCGATAGTCACCCCTGTCTCTTAGCCCTAAAGATTGCGTACTCGGTAATCTTAACGTAACACATGGCCACTTTCCTGTTAGCGATTCGCAAGTAGGTATTGTCTTTTTGCTGATACCATCTGACGGAAATGTTGGTGGTCATTATACAAAGGTTAAAGTGTGAATAGGTCTACAATAGGGTGGTCGCTGGTCGCGTTGGACAGGTGGTCGCTATATCCAGTGTCTTTAACGTGTAAATTGCGAAGGGACTGTACTAAGGTGGTCACTATGAGCAGGTGGCTGCTCTGCACAGGTGGTCGTTAACACAGGTTTGACTGT